GGGGGGGGGGGTTGGGGGGGGCTTGTTTTGTTGTGCTTCTGTTTTTGGAGGAGGGTTTGGAGGGGCGGTCCAGATAGTGATAGCACCCAAAGTATACAAGGTGCCAGTACCTCCTGGAAACAGAAGGAAGACAGACCCCATGCCAAGAATTTACAATCTAAACACCCAAACAAGGATATAGGTTTCAAACAAAGGCCCGGATTTTGGGTAACCCTTGTGCGCTATAAAGGGATGAAAGGGTCACACACACATACAGGTCACACAACCTTGCCAGAGCAGAACACCCAAAAACAGACATGGAGATTTTTTTAATGGATGGCATGACTACATTCACCTACCTGTTCAAGGAACAGCTGTTAGAGCACTCATCTTTCCAGTGTTGCTCCAGAGTGGCATGGCTTTCCTATCTCTCCTATCCAGGGCTATGGCCTGTTGTCTGACTAATGTTGATCAGGCAAGGGATGGGCATACCTCCTACTAATTAAAATGTTGGTGATTATCCTTTTGTTTCCTCATGCCCCAACACCCATGATTATCACCCTGTCTTCCTACAACAACAATTTCCCATTTCATTTCCAGTGGCTCTTCTTCCCAACATTCAACCAAAGCAGCTGCTCCGATGAGATTATCAAGCCATATGTTACCATCTACTCCATGCTGGGTGGCCATGGGAAGTGTCAGAAGTTAAGCATTTTCACTCTGCAAAAATCTCATCTACAAGAGCTGTTATCATTCCTGGTATGCTAGTCTGATTGCAATGAATCTTTAACCTTATATTAGGGACACAGCCTAAACAGAACATGAGAGTATCACATAAAAAATAAATTAATATGCCAACCTGAAATAGCCTCTATTTTTTCCATGCCTCCATGTTAATATTCACACATATTTGGAGTTGGGAAAGTTGCACACAAGGAGATATGCAAAGGCATCAGATGGCCCAAAGCAGCTTCGCCACACGATACAAAGCTGTGTGATTTATACACTATTATATTAAACTGCTAATGTATTCCTGCATACATTTTTGAATATGACTGCAATTATTCACCAGCCCTCATTATCATGATGGAAAAAATCACACTGAGAAATCTGCATAGATATTCTAAGATGGTTTATGTTCACTGCAGTCAACGGCCTTTTAGTACTTACAGGCAAAAGTTTCACTTATCCATGGAAAAAGAGGTCTCCACAGCCACACATCAGGTCAACATTACCCCCAAATGAACACTGGCAAAGCATCACCTCCATGACATGAAGGGGAGGATAGATCTTGCTATAATACAGCCAGGACTATATCTTCTTATAGTACTAATCAAGTGTTTGCAACTAGACAAGGAAACACACCATTCTTTTGGATAGCACACTCACTATTAAAAAAAGGACCCTGTTCCATATTGTACGCATTATGTGATCAGTACTTCTCTGTTAACCCACTCTTGGAAGTAGGTCAGGCATCTAAGGGTAAGAGGTAACTCTTAAGATCATGGATCAATAAATGAATAATTAATCTGCAATAGTTTGAGCTGTTTCTCTTCTCACTTAAGAATATAAGACTGCAAGGCTCCTCCTGGATCATCAGGTTCAAACCCTGGCTATCACAGACTGCAGTTCATATAATTATTTTCTTATACTTAGCAAACTCTGTCTTAAATTATTTACATATTTTACCCCCACTAAAAACTCTTATGGTTGGAAGTCTTTGCCTATTTTCCAGACTAAATTGTTCAGTCGTTGGTTCTTGCATCAACACTGGATTTTACATTAAATGAATTTACCCCTTCTTGATGTTTCTCCAAAGTGATATATGTATAGGCAGAAATCGCATCCCTTCTCAGCTTTCATTTTGGTAGCCTAACCAAACCATGATATTTTAAGCTCTCAAAAGATTGACTTGCTGTTTTCATAATAATTCTAGTAGTACTTCCCTTCATTTGTCCCAATTTAAAATTAATCTTTTTTGAAAATAGGTGACCAAACATGACCTTAAATTTTTATCAGGTGATGTATTTCCAATAAAGATAAGGAAGCATTAATGATGTTGTAGAAGGCACTAGTTAAATACTTCATATGGAAAAGGGTATACAATTTGGTCACCTGCACTGCTGTTAACCTGTTCAGCTCAGCAACACCACACAATAAGGCAAGTTAGGCTTTGGAATCTACACCTACTCATCCCTCTCACACCCTTTTGCTCCATGCACATCTTGGTAAACTCTCTAAGTGTCTCTAACTCTCTCAGTAAAATCTCTAATGCCTAACAGAAACTTGAAGACAGGCAAACACATGCCATGTGCAGCCCTGGCCTCATATACACTAACTTTAGACAGGGAAATGAAGAGAAAATTACCTAGTGTCCTTAGATGGGGAGCCCAGGTAATCTGTTCCTCATCTTAGATAAATCCTCATCTTAGATAAATGACCCCTTCCCTCTTTGGGCACATACCAGGGACTAACTAGGAGCTTATACAAGTTCAGCCACTGCTACTGTGCTCCTTACCAGTAAAGCCATTACCAGTTGTTCCATTAGCAGTTACCACAACCATAAACACAATGAATAACCTATATCAAGTGGCAGATTCATTAATGTAATTAAATGATGCTTAAAAAATGTCTGACTAATGTCTTCTGAGCTAAACACTTTTTTCACATAATTTATCATTTACACAAATACTTCTCATGCAGTGAACCTCTGGATTTCAAACTTTTCATTCAGTTAACACCCGACTGATTATGGCAAGTCAAACAAAATTGAAGTGTAGAACCACTTACAGGTTTGTTTGGTTTTTGTAAAGATAATAACACTACAATTATCTAGAAATTGACTACGACTCACAATTCAAAGTAACTCTTTGTTGAAAAAAAATTAACACACTTACCTTCGGTATGCACAGCAGAAACATAGGTCCAGTTATACCGTTTGACAATGTCCACCATGGCCCGAGCTTGTTGTGCATCAGATGGAACGACTCTCATGAAGTATTTGAACAGAGTTTTGTCACTTAAGTCCATGCTTGTGGCAGAATAAGCTATCTGAGGTATATTGAAAAGCTGCAACAAGTTCTGGACTTGGATTGCTACTGAACTAGAACCAGGTCCAATGACACCAACAATCGGTTTTTTGGAGCGGAAAGATGATGAAGATCCATCAACACAGCGTACCAGCCCTTCCTCTTCTTCCGACGAAATAAGAGAGTCCCTTATAAACTCAATGCTTTGCTCCAGAGCCACAGCAGAATGCCAACATGAGTCTCTTATTTCACAGCCTAATGTTATATTTGGCAACAGTGTTGGGTCCAAATTAATTCTGTCAAGGGTATGAAGCATTGCCTCCACTCTCTGTATGCCATATTGCTCCCTTACCTCTCCACATTTCCTCTCATGGACCTTGTCAACAGTTGGCTGATGATGAACTGAAAACAGAGCTCCAATAATGATATCACCAGGCATATATGCAACCACCCTTCTTTCATTGGTCTGTGCAGAAACCAAAAGTCCAAAGTTCCTGTTGACATCCTCCTTCAATAACAGGATTGCAAGGATCAGCAAAAGGACCATTTTAGGAAATGGTTTAAGCTGGTAGAGACATGTTGGAATACAATGGGGAGCTGTTAAAAAGCAGTTAGTCTATCTTCTGGATAAGAGAAGCAGAAAACTGATGGTTAACCAGGTATTTCCATGTATTCTTTAAGGAACCACCATTGTCTCCAAGGAAACAGCTATGCAGAGCTGCACATGTGAGCATAATCTTCATATCCTTAAAAAAAAGTAAAACAGAACTAGCTTTAAAATCAGTTGTAAAGATGAAATCCTGGAGTCAATGATTAAAAAAAACCTTATCAAGTATTTACTATTTAACATATCACTGAAGCTGGAAATCCTTCTTTTTTTGTATTTTACTGTATGATACCAAGCCAGATTCTCAACTGGTATAAGTAAGCATTATTTGAATAAAGTCCATATGATCTCTAAGGGATACACAAAGGACAATTTAGGGGAGGCAGACTGTTAGAGGCACAACCAATAGTTACACACCTGGCATCCATTGATTTTTAATGGTATTTATTTGCCATTGTGCAAATAAATGTGTGCGCCTTTCTAAGCCCCACTTCCCCATCCCCAACCTTTTAAGTACTTTTATGTTTTGATTCAGAATACAAATAAAAAACTGAACAATATACACTGGGCTTCATTTTGCTGTCAATTTACACAATTTCCAGTGGAATCACTCCAGATGCATGCTGCCAGGAAAAGCAGATTTTGACCTTTTGAATTTTTCGTAAAATTTATCTTCTTTAAATAAAATGCCTGTATTTGCAATTGAAAAATGTGTTTGAAAACAAGGGGGTTTGATAGCAGCTCCTAACTATATCATGTTAATTAATATTGTATTATTTGTACATATCAGTTACTCTGTCAT